GAGTGAAACTCCGTCTAAAAAAAAAAAAAAAAAAGAAAGGTTAATTACCACTTTGGCAAAACCATTTCTACAATCACTGTTTCCAGGGTGTAGTAACATATGGGAGTTGACGGTTTGATCGCACTGACGATCCTATTTTAAAAAGCGTCATCATAGAATCCAGGGTTTTCTCTCCTGTCAGATGGGCAGCGAGGCCGTCCTGGCCTCTGAGCCTTAGCCCCATCAGGGGATTGTTCTCCCGGAGTGCCTAGACATCAGTGGCAGTGACAGCCCCTTTCCCTCGTTGCTGTGGTACATGTGTGCAGCCTGTTGTGGTGGGAGCTCTGATTCCAGGCAGCCTTGAACTCCAGGGCCCCTGGCACTTCCTGGTCTCTGATATGATGCTGTTTCCTCTGGTGGTTGGAGCTCGGACCTGGTGGGAAGCAGAGTACCTCAGGACAGGCTTCACTGCCTTGCTGGATTCCTGGCTCTCTCTTCTAGGAGAGGCCTTTCCTCCAAGTGTCACCTGGGAAACGAGGTGAATAGCACTGACAAGAAATGAAACACTTGCAATGCATCTCATTCCTTATCTGGGACCAAAGTTTGAGTCCTGGTGTGGAAGGAGGAGCGTGTCCAGCTAGGCTTCCCCAGGCTTTTGTACGGGGTCCTGTGTGGCTTCACAGTGACCTTGCAGAGTGGGAAGGGCAGGGGTCCTTGCCTTGTCATCAGGGGCCCTGATGACTCAGGGCCTCGGGTGAGTGGCCTTGGCAGCCGAAGGGTGGGCCTGGCCACCGTGCCTTCTGCCTCCTCAGCTTTGGGTACCATGGGGGGCTCAGCAGCACCCTGGTGGATGGGGCTGGGGTACGGTCAGAGGAGCCCCAGAGCCTCCCAGCAGTGGCTAGCCTTGGCAGGGAGAGTAGCCTTGTGCCACCGAGGCCCCTCTGGTGCTCAGCCCTCAGCTGATAAAGCCCGGCCGTGCCTCAGCTCAGGATGAGGCTGTTTCGTTCATATGTGATGTTGCGATTCCTCAGGACTATTGCAGTTCAGTGACCAGTGACATTTTTTTTTTTATTAATTAAAAACAAATTTTTTTTTTGACTGGGTACAGCGGCTCACATCTGTAATCCCACAACTTTGGGAGGCTGAGGTGGGAGGATCGCTTGAGCCCAGGAGGTTGAGGCTGCAGTGAGCTATGGTCATCCCATCGTACTCCAGCTTGGGTGACCCAAGGAGACCCTGTCCCCCCAAAAAATTGAGGTGAAGTCTTGCTGTGTTGCCCAGGCTGGACTTAAGCGCCTGGGCTCAAGGGATCCTCTTGGCTCAGACTCCTGAGTAGCTGGGAGTGCAGGCGCGCCCCATGCCCAGCTGGGATCTGGCTTTGCAGGCAGCTCTGTGAATGTGAATCGTGCGCAGGGCTTAGTGGTGGGGGTTGCTCTGTGTGTCGGATCTTAGGGCTCACCCTTCGTGTGTCGTGGCAGTGGACCTGTCACTGGGATGTGGTGTGCAGGGAGAGGGTATCACTCTTCAGAGGGCTCTTTACAGCCTGGGACCGTTTGGAAGTTCCCGGCTTTCTTTCAGAGCTCAGCTCCGATGTGCAGCAATGGATGACGACAGCCTGGATGAGCTTGTGGCCCGGAGCCCAGGACCAGATGGACGCCCGCAGGTCGGCCCCGTGGACCTGGCCAGCGACTCTGGTGAGCTGCCTGGCGCCAGGCAGGGGCGTCCCCGGGAGGATCAGGGTGCCGGGTGTTTCTCTCAGTTGTTGGCTCCCCTTTGGAGGTTGTCACCTGTCAGCTTTCAGTCTCTAAAAAAATTATCCTTTGATTTTAAATTGTGGAAGTAGTGCCGGGCGCGGTGGCTCACGCCTGTAATCCCAGCACTTTGGGAGGCCGAGGCGGGTGGATCACGAGGTCAAGAGATCGAGACCATCCTGGTCAACATGGTGAAACCCCGTCTCTACTAAAAATACAAAACATTAGTTGGGCATGGTGGCGCACGCCTGTAATCCCAGCACTTTGGGAGGCTGAGGCAGGTGGATCACGGGGTCAGGAGTTCAAGACCAGCCTGGCCAACATGGTGAAACCCTGTCTCTACTAAAAATACAAAAAATTAGCCAGGTGTTGTGGTGGGCCCCTGTAGTCCCACCTACTCGGGAAGTTGAGTCAGAAAAATCACTTGAACCCGGGAGGTGGAGGTTGCAGTGAGCCGAGATCGCATCACCGCACCTCAACCCAGGTGATAGTGTGAGACTCTGTCTCAGAAAAAAAGGCTGGGTGCAGTGGCTCACACCTGTAATCCCAACACTTTGGGAGGCCGAGGTGGATGGATCACTTGAGGTCAGGAGTTTGAAACCAGCTTGGCCCTCATGGTGAAACCCCGTCCCTACTAAAAATACAAAAAATTAGCTAGGCACAGTGGTGTGTGCTTGTAAGCCTAGCTACTTGGGGGTCTGTGGCAAGAGAATCACTTCAGCCCAGGAAGCGGAGGTTGCAGGGAGCTGAGATCTTGCCACCGCACTCCATCCTGGGAGACAGAGGGAGACACTGTCTCGGGAAAGAAAAAGAAAGGGTGTGCTTTTCGCTGCATCTGCCCCAGCTTGCCCACCCTGGGCAGCCATCAGCTGCTCAGCACGTGTTCCTCAGGACTCTGCCTGTGCAAAGCAACCCTGCCGTCTGCTGTGCGGTCTTGACGCCGCCCCTGCGGCCTGTGTCTCACCCTGGTGTCTAGCAGAAAGCAGCAACGGCAGCAGTGGGGACTCTGGGGACGACAGTGACAGCGAGCATGGAGATGGCACAGACGGGGAAGGCGAGGAGGCGTCTGAGGAGGAAGACCTGGAAGACAGATCTGGTGAGACAGCCGGTGTTCAAGCCGGCTCCTGTGTTTCCTCTTGTCATGATGGGGACAGCTGGCCACGTCCCCGCAGTCACCTGCAGTGAGGCCTCGTCTTCAGCGGCGGTGATGGCTCACTTTATTTGTAGTCCTTTCTTTTCGAGATAGGATCTTGCTCTGTTGCCCAGGTGGGAGTGCAACGATGGCATCTCAGCTCACTGCAACCTCTGCCTCCTGGGTTCAAGGGCTTCTCCTGGCTCCGCCTCCTTAGTAGCTGGGATTGCAGGTGTGTACCCCGAAACCTGGCTAATTTTTGTATTTTTAGTAGAGATGGGGTTTCACCACGTTGGCCAGGCTGGTCTCGAACTCCTGACCTCAGGTGAGCCACCGCATCCGGCCTGTAGTCCTTCATTTTGACGTTCAGTTTGACAACATAGTAGGTTTCTTCTCTGTTGAGGGCAAAAAAAATCAAAATGTCCAAGAACACCGAACAGCATGAGCTGCAGTGTTTTTGGGGAGAACGTAACCAGACTGGAATTTCCCATGGAAGGAGCAGTAAGGTCTTGGCAACCACCTTCCCCCCCACAGCCCTGCAAAGGCCTGCCGTCATCAGATAGGTACTGAATGGGGTTAGTGTGACCCATGGTTTGTTTGGCCTGGGACCTCCTGTAGTTCCTTCTCTCATTCGACCAGAATCCCTGATAGAGGTGACAGATGCATGTGATTTTATTAAGGAGTTCAGGGCTGGCATGGTGGCTCACGCTTGTAATCACAGTACTTTGGGACAGTGAAGTGGGCAGATCACTTGAGCTCAGGAGTTCGAGACCAGCCTGGACAACATAGTGAGACCCCATCTGTACAAAAAAATACAAAAATTAGCCGGGCATGGTGGTGTGCACCTGTAATCCCTGCTACTCAGGAGGCTGAGGTGGGAGGACCGTTTGAGCCCAGGAAGTTGAGCCTGCATCAAGCTGTGATCGTGCCACTGTGCTCCAGCCTGGGTGATGGAGCGAGACGCTGTCTCAGACAAAACAAAGGGGGCACAAGTTTGTTGGGTGCACTGGCAGTACCGCCTTCTCTGTCAGCTGTTGCCACCCCCATGGTACACTGCCTGTGAGGCCCCCAGGGAGGGGGCCCCGCCCCGGCTCAGCTATGGCTGCTTCCTCGGGGGCTGAGCTCACCCTCAGAACTTTGCCTTCCCACCAGTTCCCTTCTGACCTCACCCTCGGGCTGGAACGTCCACGTCCTAAAGTGGCTGCGGTGATCTGTGTGAGAGCCCTGTGGTGACCAGTGTTAGAACACTCTAGAAAGGAGCCCTTCTGTGTGAGGCATGTTGCTGAGGGAATGGCGTTGACGGCCTGAGCTCTGTGTGTGGGCTGGGCGTCCTCCCTGAGCTCGATGTCGAGCTCTGCATGTGCTCTTGCGGGTCTGCTGGGTGTGCCGGTCCCGAGGGGCTCCCCTGCTTACTGTCAGCGTTGGAATCGGGCTCTTGCTCATCTGCGGCAGGTCTCGCACGGGCTCCAGCATCGCCAGGGTTAAAAGCACGGGAGGTCAGGGCTGCCAGGTGACTTGCTGTCCTTGCCTTGAGATCCAGAGGGCTCCTTGGACTCTGGGCTGGGGGCTGGAGTGAGGGCAGTGGGAGCCTCAGCAGGGCCCCACTGTGTCTGTGCTCAGCTTCCAGTAGCAGCAGCTGGAAGATGGGGTCGTAGATGCCAACAGCTGTGGATGTCCAAGGAATGGGCAGGCTCCATGGACCTGGGGTGGGGAGAGGCTTCTGGGGAATGTGAGCTGCCACCTGAGGTGCAGGAGGAGGTGGCCGGGCAGGGGTGGCGGGGAGGCCATGGCTGGAGGCTGTGAAGAGACAGAGGGTTTACAGAGACCTGGCGTTCCTGAGGGCTGAGCGCCCTAAAGGAAGGGGATGGGAAGGCACTGCAGAGGTGTTGGTGCGCCAGTGTGTGCAGAGCCTTAGCGAACACTTCTCTTTTTTCCTCCTTTTTTTTTATTTTAATTTATTTTGAGATGACGTTTTGCTTGTTTCCCAGGCTAGAGTGCAGTGGTGCGATCTTGGCTCCCTGCAACCTCCGCCTCCTGGGTTCAAGTGATTCTCCTGCCCCAGCCTCCCGAGTAACTGGGATTACAGGCGCCTGCCACCATGCCTGGCTAATTTTTGTATTTTTAGTAGAGATGGGGTTTCAACATGTTGGCCAGGCTGGTCCTGAACTCCTCACCTCATGATTTACCCGCCTTGGCCTCCCAAAGTGCTGGGATTCCAGATGTGAGCCACCACACCCGGCAGGACCGTTCTTTCCACATGAAGAAGTAGCCAGTGTGTCCCTAACTGGTGGGAAACACGGTGTTGAGAAGGGAGGTACTCCACAGACAGGGCCTGCGTCACTGGGGTGCGGGACCTTTCAGTTCTCATTGCTTTTCCCACGCTGGTGTTTGCTGCCGGAAATCACTTGTTCCCCTGCTGTTTCCACCTTTAGGTAGTAGCCATGGAGGATGGGAACTGAGAGAATTCTTACCTGCTGCCTCCCTTGAGGCTCTCGCTCCTCCCAGCCTCTTCAACAGTGTAAATTCCTGTTCCGAGCGTGCCTCTCCCCTGCTGGATGACAGCAGGGTCCTGGGAGGGATGTCCCAGCTCTGGCACCGTCCCATCCACGCGAGTGGAACTAGGAGAGTCTCAGGGCCGAATGGGAAAGTGCTGCCCACACCGAGTCTGCTCCTCTCGCCCGTGTGAACTTGTGTGTTCGGTAGGAAGAAAACCAAATGCAAATGCACATGTGGGCTTTGCTGTGTTGAACTCAGAGCACCTCCCTCACCCTGCTGGCCAAGCCCCAGCCTCAGAACCACTCAGAATTGGCCAGAACAGTTGTGCTCAGTGGCCACAGGGAAGAGGAATGGGCGACCTCGGAAGGAGGGCACGTGTGCAGGCAGATGGTTCGTCACCCTAATGCTTTGAGAAGGGGGTGTTGGAAATGGGGGCTACTGCGCTGAGGGGCTTGCCAGGAGGCTCAGAAATTAATCTGATCATCTCTGGGACAGGGTCCCGGGGCTGCCTCTTGGGGTCTGTCTCAGCCCCAGGTTCAGCTTGGAGGAGCTGGTCTGGCACTCAGGACGCTCAGCTTCCTGCCCCTTGGGGTAGGGCTCCTGGGGTTGTGGATGTGCTGAATGTGGACATGGAGGTGGGTGGCCGGCTGTGTGCGCATGGGGAGGTGGGCTCTGCACTGCAGACCTGACGTCCCGAGCGCAGCCGGGGCCCGCTCACCAGACGTCCCGAGCGCAGCTGGGCCTGTTCGCCTCTGGTGCTGCCGTTCACGCTGCCAGTCCTGCTTGCCGCAGCTGAAACATTTCCTCTCTCTCTAGGTTCCGAGGATTCTGAAGATGATGTGGAGACATTGCTGGAGGTAGCCAGTACTCAGGAGAAACTGGAAGCCGCTGGCTCTTTTAATTCTGATGATGACGCAGAGAGCTGCCCCATCTGTCTCAATGCGTTCAGAGACCAGGCCGTGGGGACACCGGAGAACTGTGCCCATTACTTCTGCCTGGACTGCATTGTGGAATGGTCCAAGGTGAGTTCACCCATGGTTGGCTTCTTCTCCCTTCAGGGTGGCCTCCCAGCTTACAGACGGCCCAGCCTGTGGTCAGCCCCTTGCGAGGTTCTAGCTCTCCCCTCTGTGGCTGGCACTAGGGCTGCAGGATTGAGTCTGGCTTGGCCTTTGCTTTGTGAGCACTGTGGCTCTTGGAGGCGTGGGTGAACTCAGTGAGGCATTTGTAGTGCCCCGGTATTGGACAGGAGAAGGAGGGCCGTGGTCTCCTGGGACCAGCTGCAGAAACCGTGGATGAGGGAGGGACCCTCTAGGCCTGCAAGCCGGAGCACGTAAGCACGTGAACACGTGTGCGGTGCTGCTTGGGAAGGGCCAGCTGGACCCTCGAGCCAGAGCACGTGTGCGGGTGTGTGGTGTTGCTCGGACAGTGCTCCTCTCAGTTGATAAAACAGTACAATTCAGCGCTCATTCACCATAACCAGCATCGAAAGGGACTGTCCTTAAAACAGGTGGCGAGAGTTGACTGTGAATATTCAGTGTATTTTATATTAAAATGAACCTTCAGAAGCAAGCAGTTTCCTCTCCCTTGTAAGTATTTTATTGTAAGAAATGTCAGAAAAATAGAGCGCACAGTCCGAGGATGAGTGATGAGCCACCCACCCCTGTCCTCAGGGCTCAGCTCCCTCCCTGCTGTCCTCGGCTCTCCTCATGACCATGACGTCACCCAGGATGTCTGGTGACTGGGGCCTCCTGCTGTTTCCCCATGTAGCTGAAAACCCTGTCGGCCTCGTTGGAAGCAGGACCCGGCAGACGTTGCTCGTGCTGCTGCTGGCGGCAGGCTGTGGCGTGTCCCAGAGTCGGGCTCTGGGACTTCTTATTGCTGTTCTGCTGTGGTGGGTCTGCAGCCTACAGTAGATTCAGGCTTCAACTTTTCTTTTGGCAAGTGAAGCATTCATTTAAATTGAGGAACAGGATACAGCGTTTGCTGTGTATCTTCTGTGTGGCATTTATCAGATAAGGATTGGGCAGAAGATGGTGTTTGCAAATAACTTTGTCAGTATAGAAACCTTATAAATGGGGCCGGGCACGGTGGCTCACACCGGTAATCCCAGAACTTTGGGAGGCTGAGGTGGACGGATCAGGAGGTCAACAGATCGAGACCAGCCTGGCCAACACGGTGAAACCCCATCTCTACTAAAAATACAAAAATTAGTTGGGCATGGTGGCAGGAACCTGTAGTCCCAGCTACTCGGGAGGCTGAGGCAGGAGAATCGCTTGAACCCAGGAGGTAGAGGTTGCCATGAGCCAAGATCATGCCATGACATTCCAGCCTGGCGACAGAGGGAGACTTCATCTCAAAGAAAAACAAAAGCAATGTTACAAATGGACTGTTAGAATGCTGTTTAGCAAGATTGGCGGATACAAGATTCGTAAAGATGAAAAATTGTGTTTAGAAATAAATCATAAAGAGATGTGTAAGACATTTAAAGAGCTTTTCTTTTCTTTTCTTTTTTTTTTTTTTTTTTTT